ATGTTATCATTTTGTGAAACAGTGCCTAGCCTTTTGAATTTTGTTTCATCATTTAACATGTCACATATTTTAACAATGTAGTCAGTTTGATTCAAAATGATGGTTCCAGAACCTTTGTCAGATTTTGTGATAAGAATACTTTTGTTTGAGCATAGAGATTTTATAGCCTGAAAATGTTCTCAATGCATATAGAAGTCCGAAAGGTCGATTGGTATGCCACAGTAAGCATGTGCCAAATCACATAGTCTGGCCTTTAGCGAACTTAGTTCTTCATCCGATACTGGTTTATGTTTAGTAAGTTGAGCATATAAAACTTCAAATTCTGTGAAAATCTTCTCTCTCTGGATATTGATAGTAAATAAACAAAACTCTAGACCATGTCCAAGTACAAATTCTTCTGCTTCAGAGAGGCAGTAGTCTGAAAGATTAATAATGTGCTTTTTAGAGTCACTCAACGCACCACTGAAACGTTTCTTAATAAGAATGTTTATGTTATGATCGTGTTTTTTGTCTGGTTTTCCATCCATTCGTCAGTTTTGGAATTGTAGTGGCACAAGCGAATCATGTTGAAAAATGAAAGACATTTTCTAATTTTTTACCACAGGTTGCGATAACGAACTTTTACTTTAGAATATTGTTTTTGGTTTTTCTCGATTTCATCATTCATAAATGCATGTTCCATTGATGGACTATGTCTTGCTCGGGATATTGCAATGCGATTACTAATAAATTTTAGTATGACTCGTTTGCTATACAATCTACACATCCTTCAGTAGGTCTGTGACATTTCTTGATTGGCTTAAGGACATGCCAATCAGTCATTGCCTTACTGGCCTACGTTGATCTGACTCATTTTATAAGCTGTGCTATTTCCTATTTCAAGAAAATAATTTCTTATTCCTAACTTTGTTTATCACAAACTGTAGTTTATATGAGACCCTTTTATTCAGGTAAATAAAACATCAATCTATATCTCAAGAATATATCTTTATTAGCTCAATATTTTGCTTTTACAGCTTGTCAGGAGCTATCGATATCCTACTAGTTCACTAAACCAGTTGGCAACTGTGAAATATGAATCAAGTAGTTTAGTTGTTTTTTTAATTAGATGCTTGCAAACTTGTATTACAGTTTCCTTATTGCTACCATGAAGAGATGCTTTCTGAACTGATGATAAGAAAGTTAAATGTTGTTTTCCTCACTTTGTGTAGGGAAGAGCATGATGCATTAGTTCAAAAGCTACAAGCTTTGGAGAAGAAAATTATTGTTGGTGGAGAAAATCTTTTGGAAAAAGCTGAAGAACAAGAAAGATTATTGGAAGAGAGTGCACAAGAGCTGGAAGAACGAAAACAGAAAGAGAAAGAACTCAGACAAGCACTAGAAAAGAAAGAGGTGTGATTAAAGTACATATATTACAAGATTTTTTTGTCTTCATGAAGTTGTAATTCGTTGGCTCATTGTTAGGTTATTTTTATTGTAACTTTATGTTTTGAAAATAAGCATTTTCCTGGGTTCTATATGTAATTTTTAAAAGGGAAAGTATTGGATATAAAGATTGTTGCTAACATTTTCTTATTGATTTAAACAAAGTTAAAAATCATACTCCAGTTTGTTACTTAAAATGACTCAAACACCTTTAATGATAGGCAGCATCTCCTCTGATTAATATTTGTTTACCCACTTATGTTTTTACCATTATAACACTAATACCAAATGTTCAAACAAGTTTTACACTTGGTGAAACTGTAACTTAGAATCACTGTGTTAGTATAATAAGCAATAGAGAAACATTAATCATTAGTTGTTAGCCATCACTCTAACATGTTAATCAGCTTACATTCTGACTTCCATCTGACAGACTCATTTCTCATCAGTGGCAACTTGAGAAGTAATTTTTATGCATGTGTTTTGTATTTAATTAAGCTTTGTTACAAAAAATATAAGAACATCTTTAATGTATCTTGGTGCTAGTTGCCTGTTATGTGTAGTAATCAGCATCTTCTAGTTTGGAGTGGCCAGCAAAACATTTGAGGGCCAGAATGACAGACATTATTTTGATTTGGATGAATGCAAAAAAGTTATAATTAAAGCAAGATATAAGTTTAAGTGTATTTAAGAAACTACACTAATAAAAATAATATTCATTTTTGGACTTCTCCATGATCAGGCTACTACTTATTAGTTTTCAGACTAGAAATATGTGCATTTATTATGGCCCCACAATAGACAAATTGGCTTAAATGTTGTTACAATTGGTCTTCCTTGATCTCTCAACTTGGTGAATCACAATGAAAGATTCAGTAAAGTTAGAATAACAGGAGTGCTAAAAGCGAGAACGTTTCTCATAGAATTTTATTGTAATTATTTAAAGTTAGAAATGTAAATTAGACTATGGTGGTTGCACAATTCCATCAAATGAAGAGAATTGTCATTGTCAGTGGATTCATGATGGGGAAATCGAAGTGTAATAATGAAGATGAAGATGGTTGACAAAACCAACCATTTCAGAATACACTTATTCCATCTTCAGCGAAATCTGAAAATAGTGTTATAAAGGTATTTATTAACTAAAATTATAGTATCATTAATTTCTAGTTAACTTAGTTATTAAGTAAAGTGATAAATGTAAGGATAAAACTAAAAAGATTATATACATATATTGCAAAAAGTTGCGTTTTAAGTGTGTACACTTAGAATAGTTTTAGACCTGAAGAGTTTTAAGTCATTAAGAGTAGGGTGGCCTTTAGCTATGAATAAACTTTTTATTAATGTAGGTTTCAAGGTTCTGAAGATCCTGTAGTAATGACAGAGAAATCATTAAATTAAAGAGGGGAGTTTTTTTTATAATCTATAAGGATTGTGGACTCATAAAAGGAATAGAGATAATAAGGGGAAATTTGTGAACAGTGTGTACATTGGTTCGTTTTTGGAATTTGTTGTTTAGGAAGTTGCATGTATTCTTCATTAGAAAATCAGTTGGCTAGCCATTATTTAACATATGTTTGTGTAGAAGGGTAATTTGTTTGTGTGAAATAGAATAATTGGAACACAGATTAAAAATTCTGTTTAACAATGACATGACTAGATTACCTTTGAAGAAGTTGGGATAGAACTATTACAATTGCTATAAAGGCCAGTAAAAATATTTTATTATAAAAAGAGGTAGAAAAGTGTTTACCTTCTCTGTCATTGTTTGTACTAAAAGGACAGTATGATAAGGGGTAGAAGATATGTTAGAGACAAGTACATATAAAAAAGTTAAGAATAACCCTACTAATAAGTATCATGAACTTGTAAAAACAAGTTAAAAAATGTTTAACTTTAACCGATGTAGAGACAAAACAATTAATTCCAGCTAGTTTTATTACTCTGAGATTTTATGTACTTCCAAAAGTACATAAAATTAATAACAGTTTT